ATAAGACTACATCAAGCTGAAACCCTTCCATACAGTGAAGGAAATCATCAACAAAATGAAAAAAAAAAACCTACTGAATGGGAGAAGATATTCACATTGTATTTCCAATAAAGGGTAAATACCCAAAATATATAAAGGACTCATAACTCAATAACAAAAACAAACTGATCAAAAATGTGCAGAAGACATGGATAGTCATTTCTCCAAAAAAGACATGCAAATGCCCAACAGATATATGAAAAGATGCTTGACACCACTAATTATCAGACACATGCAAATCAAAACCACAATGAGATACCACCTCACACTTGGCTATAATTTTAAAAATGGCCATAATCAAAAAAAACCAACAAATAACAAGTCATATACTGTGGTAGGATTGTAAATTGGTGCTGCTGCTATGGAAAACAGTAAGAAGATTCCTCAAAAACTAAAAACAGGACCATCATACAACCCAACCATTTCACTTCTGGGTGTTTTGAACTAATTCAAAAAGATATATGATATGAATCCCTATGTTTATTTCAGCATTATTTACGAAAGCAAAGATATGGAAGCAACCTAGGTGTGCCTCAATAGATGAATGGACAAAGAAGATTTTGTATGTATACACAATTAAATATTACTCAGAAATAAAAAAGAATGAAATCTTGCCACTTGTAACAACATGGATGGACATAGAAGGTCCATGCTAAGTTAAATAAGTCTGAGAGAGAAAAACAAATATGGTATGATTTTATGTATATCTGGGATCTTTATTGTATGATTTATGTATATCTGGGATCTTTATGGTATGATTTATATATATTTTGGATCTTAAAAAATGAACAAACATAACAAAGCAAAAACAGACTCGAAGAAAGAAAGAACAAACTGATTGTTCCCAGAAGGCATGGGTGAAAAAGATGAAGGCGAATATAGTCAATAATATTATGATAACTTGCACAGTGAGAGATGGTTACTAAACTTAGTGTGAGGGTCACATTTTAAGGTCTATAAACATAAAATCACTATGTTATTCATGTGAAACTAATATAATATTGTATGCCAACTACTCTCCAATAAAAAATTTTAAGAAGAAACTATACAAAAGAATCAAATGAAATTTCTGGGGTTGAAAGATATAATAACTTAAAAGAAACTCACCAAAGAGGCTAAACAGCAGGTCTGAGATGGGAGAAGAAAGAATCAGTGGACTTGAAAGTAAATTAACAGAAAATATACAATCTGATAGGCAGTCGCTGAAGTAATGCCCTATAGAGGTACCTGGCAGCTTAAAAAATTGCCCTAAACACAATCTCACTTAATCTTCATAAAATCCTGTTAGTTAAATATGCTTCTTAATATTCAAAAATTCTGAGGCCCATGTGTTCATCAGTAGATGAATGGATAAAACCACTATGGGACATTTACACATTGGATCTACTCAGCCGTAAAAAAAGCAGAAAGAAACCTTTACCCTTTGCAACAGTATGGAGAACATTAGGCTAAGTGAAATAAGCCAGTCAGAGAAAGACAAGTACAATATGATATCACTCATATGTGAAATCTAATGAACAAACTGAACTAACAATCAAAATAGAGACAGACTCATAGATGGAGAGCAGATGACAGCTAGTGAGGGCGGTGGGGTGAGGAGGTGGAGGGATTGAGCAGGAAGGAAAAAGGACTCATGGACATGGACAACAGTGTGGGGATTGCTGGGGGAGGGGCATGAAGGAACTAAATGGTAATGGGAAAAATACAATAAAGACTCCTTAAAAATTCTGAGGATCAGACTAATTCAGTGACTGACTGCATTAGTAAGAATATAACTTCAAATTTTCAGTTAGTTAACACAATGAAATGTTATTTTCTATTCAAACTGAAGAAAAAACAATGTTGCATGTTAAATGACTTTATGGATGGCTCTCCTTCAAATGTTTATTTTCCCAGCTTTTTAAAGATATAATTGACATATAACATTGTGCAAGTTTAAGGTGTGCAACGTGTTGATTTTATATACTTACATATTACAATATGATAACCACCATATCATTAGATAGCACCTCCATTATGTCACATAATATTTCTTTTATGTAGTAAGAACACTTAAGATCTACTCTTTTAGCAACTTTCAAGTATCTAATACAGTAGTATAATCGCCATGCTTGCTACACATTAGTTCTCCAGAACTTATTTGTTTATAACTGAAAGTTTTTGCCCTTTGACCAACATCTCCCCATTTTCCCTTCCCCTCAATTCCTGGTAATCACCATTCTACTCTTTGTTTCTATGAGTTTGGCTTTTCTAGATTCCACATATAAGTGTCATACACTATTTCTTTCTCCATCTAACTTATTTCACTCTAACACTTTACTCTTCTGCCTCTTTCTTTCATTTATAAGGACTCTTGTGATTACCTTGGCCCCACCCACATAATTCAGAATAATGTCTGCTGATTAGCAATTTTAATTTTATCTTTAATCTTAATTTCCCTTTGCCATATATTCTAACATATTTACAGGTTTTGGGGATTAAGACATAGATATATTTGGGGGCCATTATTCTGCCTACCATAGAGTTTTAAAAAGACTCAGAACCTTAAGTAGATGGAAAAATGAACTGCTTCTAAACTTCAAACAGTAAAAACTGGTTTTCAAAAGCTTCAAGCAAAGTCTTCCTATAAAATTTTTCACTTAATTAAAGTGCCTAAAGATGAAGATCGTGTTATAAGTGTGCTAACCAGTAAACATCTCAGATGAATCAAACAACTGAGGGCAAAAGTACCTTCCCACTAAAACATTAGAGTCCCAAATTTAACCTTCATTTAGTTCAAAGAGATGTACGTAGAAGTGATAAGAGAAAAAATAGAGAACATTTGAGAATTATATATTTAAAAGATTTTAGGGTGTGTTTACTGGCACATAAGTGAAACCAAATAGATGAGAAGCCCAGTGAGTTTTTAATAAATATATATTGCCAAAGAAACCAAGAACTCAGCTAAGAAAGACTTTGTCTATTCAAGAGCTAACATAACTCTTGGGATCCAACTTTTCCGCACCAGAAAGTGGACTGAGAAAGCTGTGCTGCCCCCAACAAGGACATATTCCACAGGACCCATTTTAGATATGGCCTAAGATAGTAATGGAAAAGAAATAATTTTTCCAGAGAGAAATTTCCATGGGCCACAGAAAGGAATGGACAGAGAGTGCATACTAGAGAGTCTAATCAAGAAACTCCTCCCAGGCCCAGGGCTCGGAGTCTTCCCGATTCCTACCCAGTGCGGACTTCAAAATTGCTGTGAATTGATGACAGTTGTATGTCTCATATTCTTCATCTTTCCAAATAGGAGAAGTTATTATTTCTAAATGTCCCTGTTACATTATTATATATTTGATAAGAGGGTGATAAGTGAACAGATAAATTTCCTATTAAATCACAAGTCTCTAGACCAAGAAGAGCCCCAACCAAATATGATGGAGAAGTTCTTGTATATCACCTGAAATCCTACACTTTGAGCTGTGTGAAATGCCTGGGTGAAAATTTGGGGCCTGTCCTGTGGAGAGGATTTGAATGCGTTCTATACATGGGAAAAAGGTAATGAAGAAATATTACGTGCCCAAAACACAGATGGTGGCAGAGAAATTAGCATTCACTGCAAATTTGTGAAATCTGTGAACATTCCTACATCTCCCACTTTCCCTCACAGTTGAGTTGGGGCCATGCCAAGGCAACATAATCACCAATGAAAATGTGAATGAAAGTGATAAATCACTTCAAGACCAAGGCAATTAATAATTGGAGTGCCTCACCACCTCCTCCCCCCCTTTTTTTTTGTTTGGTAACTCTGAAAAATACATGTTGCTATGACTTCATGAGATGAGAGGATCCAGGATTTCTGAGTCACTAAATGGAGAATAAATTCTGTCAACATAGTCATACACTAAACCTTTAACAAAGAGAAATAAACTTTATTTTGTTAATTTGCTGAAATTAAGAATAGCTTAAGCAGATCTGATATAGACATTTTATTTTGACATGCCCACTAGCCATACAACTGGAAATGTCAAGAAACAGTTGTATGTATGGATATGAGCTCAAGGGAAAAATCTAGGCTAAACATATCAGTTTAGAAGTCACCCTAATTTAGAAAAGGAATTTTAAAGCCATACAATTATCTCTAATTAGGAAAAATTAGAAATAGAGAAGAGAACATAGAATCATAGAGTATTGCTTTATTTTTTTAACAGCCAGATATTTCTGTAATATATTATAATTTTTTATTGTAAATGTATCCCAACAACTTGTCCTTTGTCCATGTGTCCCCTTAAACAACCAGCTCTCTAAGGGCAATGCTTGTGTCTGTGTCACTCAACCCATTTCCTGAATGAGCAAAGAGGTTTTTTTAATATTTTAATGGTGATAGCTCCTTACATATAAAATATAATCAGTATCAACGTTAGTCTTTTTCAACTGTTTAATCCTTTTAAAAGCAATCTTTCATATTCACTACCTAATTTGACTTGTACAGCAAACTTGTTGTCATGATGGCACTGTTGTTGGAGGTGATGATACCCATCATACAATCTTGGAAGGAAAGCAGGAGTAGGCATAGGAGCCTCTCAAAATATTGGAAATCTCATATACATCAAATATAAAACAACTTCTTCAGGCATGAACTTCAAATTAGAATTATGGCTAACACTGAGAGTCCACTAAATGCTAACCAATGTAGCAAGCAATTTACATGTTTAATTTAATCTTTACATAAACCTTAGAGCCTAGGAAAAAGTGGTTTCATTTTATAGGTTAGGACTTAATTTCCAAAAAATGGGAAACTGTTCATGGTCAAAAATCAGAAAGTAAAGAAGTCAGGATTCGAATCCATATGCATTTTATTTCAAAGCCCATGTGCTTTCTGCTGCAACACACTATAGTGCTTAAGTTTGGGCACTTGATCGGTGAATTTTCTTTTCTCCTGCTGGTGAGAGAAAACAGTGAAGGAACTAGGAGCTTTCTCAGTACTTTCCCACAGTAGATAACACGTGAGCCATACTGTCCCTGATTTGCTTTGTCTTTGCTCCATAGATGATGGGATTAAGCATGGGGGGAATTAACACATAGAGATTTGCCAGAAGGATGTGGACATGGTGGGGGATATTCTTGCCAAAGCGATGGGTCAGAAAAGTGAAAAACGATGGGATGAAGAAAAGGAGAATGACTCCAATGTGGGAACCACAAGTATTCAAAGCCTTGTGCCGGGCATCCTGGGAAGGAAGTCTAAACACAGCTTGGAGGATCAAAGTGTAGGAAATACCAATGAGTGCAACATCTACCAAAACTGATGCCATTGGCACTGAGAAACCATACCAGATATTGACAGTGATGTCAGCGCAGGCCAATCGAGCCACCCCAATGTGCTCACAGTATGAGTGGGGGATGATATTGGTCCGACAGTATGGCAGCCTCTTCAGCAGGAATATGATAGGGAAAATGGTCCCAATGCTCCGGCCCCAGATTGCCAGAGTCATTTTTCCGATTGCCATGGGAGTTAAGATAGCTGTGTATCTCAAGGGAGTACAAATGGCCACATAGCGGTCAAATGCCATGGCCAGCAGGATTCCTGACTCAGCCACAAAGGCAACATGGATGAAAAACATCTGAGTAATGCAGGTGTCAAAGGCAATCTCCCCAGCATGGAACCAGAAGATAGCCAGGGCCTTGGGCACAGTGGTGGTGGACAGCAAGATGTCAGTGCCAGCAAGCATGGAGAGGAAGACATACATGGGTTCATGGAGGGTGCGATCATTGAGGACAACAAGGATGAGGGCTCCATTTCCCAAGACCGCAGTGATGTACATGAGGCAGAAGGGGATGGAAAGCCAAGCATGGTAGTTCTCCAGTCCTGGGATGCCGAGAAGGATGAACACAGTGGGGTGGAAGGTGGTGAGGTTAGCACCAAACATGCCTGCTTTTGGAGTCTCTGGGCAGAACCAGCTATAGGTTTCACTAAAAGATGAACGTTAGATAATGGAATCAATCGCTAATTCCTTGACTTAGAGAATATAATGGTATGCCTTGACTTCTTAAATTATCATTGCAAACGTAAATATAAACAAAAGTTCCTGATCACACCTCAGCAATGTCTAGGGTCCATTCGTGCCTCCTCATTCCCACTTCCATGCTCCTACTCAGGTTTTGGTCATCCTTCCCTCGTTCTACTGTAATAGCATCCTAACTAATCCTATCTTTCCATGCCCAGGTTCGTATTCTCAACCCCTCCATATCCAACCCAGCTATGTTGAAATGTCCAAAGCAACAATCTGTGTTTTTTCTTACAACTTTTTTTATAGTGATTTATCTATTACAAAGTAAAGCCTGAGTTTCTCAAACATACAAATACTTCCACAAACCCACTGTTACTCTCTTCTCTAGCTTTGATTGCCTTTAGGAACTCTGGCAAAGCTAAATTAAATTATGATCCATTTCTCATACAGTTTTTAAATATTCATGACTTTTCTAACATTTTCTCTTAATTTGGAATGTACTTTTCTACCTTTGGTATTCATTAAACCTACTGTTCTTCTAATTTGTAGCTTAAACGTTTATCATGTGGAAGCCTTCTCCAGGTTCACACTCTGGGCCTCCAACTTTCTGATTATTAACAAAAAGCAAGTTTTTCACATCTCAGAAATTTAGCCTGGTCTATGAAAATGAATTCTTCAGATTCATCTTGCAAGAATTAAATTTAATACTTTCTTTAAACTGCCTAGTATAGTGCCTGGTATAAAAACACTAAATAAATGCTAATTTTTGTTTTTCAATGAATCAGCACAACTTAATAGAGAGCCTAGAAACTAATGTAAGTATATTTGAAATTAAAGTGTGATCAAGTAACATTTCAGTTTAGTGGGGAAAGGAAGCCAATTCAATTAATGACAATGGGATATTGGACAACGTTGTTTTTGTAAAAGAATAAAATTAGTTCTCACTTCACTCAGTACAGAAATATAAATTCCAGATGAATTACATATGTATATTTTAAAAAACAAAACCACAAAAATATTTAAAATTTAAAAGAAGTTCTTAGGAGAAAACATAGAAAATATTTCTGTGATTGAAAGATACTCTTAAGATAACAATATTTCATGGACAGTAATAATTAAATGATGTGATTACATAAAAATGTAGATAAGAATAAATAAAAATTTTAGGAAACAAAACTTACAAAACATGTAATAAACAAAAAGGTTATCTTTAAATACTAAAAGCTGGTAGAAACGAATGAGGAAAATTAAAGAATGTGCAAAAAAATCAAAATAGACAATTCATGCTACAAAAAAAAATGGCCAATATACATGCCATATGAATACATGCTCACAATTTGAAGAAATAAAAATCAGTGTCATATGGAAATATTGTACTTTTCTTATCAGATTGAAAAACATAAGAAAACAATTAGCCCTCCCCCTTGCTGGTGGCACAGCATGGAACATATAAACATATCTGTAGGAATATTCATTGCTAATTGTTGCAATAATAAAAAAATCATTACTACATCCATATCTGTCAATAGGGCAATAAATATAGTACATATATTAAAATGGAATGTTTTGTTTCCATTTTTAAAAAGAGTATTAACCATAGCATATAATTATATGAAAAAAATTAAAGATTAAAATGCATAGATAGCTTTATTATTGTTCTCTCAATGGGTGTATCAGAACAATTTACATTATCAGTAACAGAAAATTCAACCCCGTTTTGGCTTGTACACAAAGGGAAATATCCTTGCTCCTGAAACTGAAAACTATGTTTCTACTATCAGGTTCATCTAAAGATTCAAGATATCATCAGGGATTCCATTTCTCTGTGACTCTCTGTTCTGCCCACCAGGTGTTGACTCTTCTGGGGCCAGGCCAGGACTAAGGTGAGAAGAGTGAGGCACTTAGCTCAGGTGCAAATTTAAGTGAGTACCAAAACACTTAGTAAACAACATAGATAACATTTTAAGGCAATCTTTTTAAAATTAAAATTTATGCAAAATACCCACAATGAACAAAACATCAACATTTTAAATAAAGCTAGGATTGACAGTACTATATTGAGCCATACTGGAGCCAGAGGCAAAAGAAAAAGAAGCAGCCCTTGTGTATATAGTTTTATGTGTCTTTAAAGGTTAAATTTTTTCATAATTTTATTTTGAAAATATCATTTAGAGTTTCTTTCATTAAAGCCAGTAAATTATAATAAATTCTAATTTTCACATAATATATTTAAACTTAAACTAATGTCATGAGTTTTAATACCTACTCTTCAATGTTATATTTTAAGCCACTTTAATATTCTTCAAAAAAGTTAATCCTAGTCCCAGTCCTGCATAGCAAAAAATGTCTTTATCAGTTCAAGATGTCAAGGTGTACACTCTGGACAGTGGCTACTTACACTACATCACCCAGAAGAAACGAGATCTCATTTGTATCAACAGTTTATTGGGTTTATTCCAAGAAAACCTAACAATCCCAGGAAACAAACATTCATTTTGTTTCCAGAAACTTACCCCAACTCAAAAGAAAGATTTTTCCAACATGTGATAAAAAGCTGTCAGATGCACACTTTGGAAAAATTAGGACAGTATTTATACCTCATCTGCAGAAACCCCTTGGGTAAGGAGAGACCTTCTACCGCACTAGGTCTTTAGGGGGCATCTGGTTTAATTAGAAGCAGACCTCAGCAGGACAAGTCTCCAGAGGTCACTGACTCAGAAACCAAAGAGGGTTGGTAATCTAACTATGTCCTATCTACAGCAGTCCATACATGCTGTTTCTGCTATGACTCCACATCTAGAGTAGATTTGGATTGTTGCTAGTCGATAAGTAGAGTATTAAAACCCTGCATATGTACCTGCTAGACTTCAATGTACATAGAAACCTGTGGAGATATAAAAGAAATAGTAGATCAGAGGCAGCTAAGTGTATATTATGTGTGTATGTGGTGTGTGTCCATATGATTTTTCAATCATAAAATTAGATCATATTTAACTGCAAAGGGTCCAGAGATCAACCACATCACCAACATTTCAAATTAGTCCATTCGTAAGTATATACGTTGAACTCTATGCTAGATGCTGGAACTGTAATGATATATGAGACATACTCTCTGCCCTCACAGAGCTCAAGCTCTGGTGGTTTCATAGACTAATGATAATCTGTAGAATCCATAAAGGTCATTGCTATGGAGACCCAGAGAAAAAGGTGATCACCTCTGACTTGGGGGGATTGGCAAAGGCTTCAAAGAGGGGTTGACATCAGCGCTCTACTCTTTGCTGCTCTGTGGCTCTGATTAGCTATTCTCTCTGAGCCTTGGGTGCCCCCCATGTATAAAACAGAGATAGCAAGGGTACAATTTCATGAGGCTGTATGGCAATTAAATAAGCTAATGTGGCAAGGCTCCTGACGTGGTTCCCAGCATAAGCTCTTAATAAACAATAACTATTGTCATAATTATTATTATCATTAATATTATTATATTACATTACTATATGGTGATGTGTTTTGAGATAATGATGGAAAAGTAAGTTAGGACCAGATTATTAAATTAATGCTCAGCTTACTCTGTAGCCTTATGATATCTAGACTGTGGCTAATAGAACACCAGGTTATTTTAGAAATGGGAGTTAATATGCTATCAAAAAAATTTATACAAATATCTATGATAGAATAAGTATAGGAAACACCACAAACTCTAGCCTTCTTTTGGACAGTTGTGTGTGACTCACAGAGTGTCAGCATTTTTCATGTTTATTTGACCATGAAACTTTTTTTAATAAAACATCCATTATGATAGCTGCTTTTTATTTCTACAGAATGTCCTGTGGTAAACACTTCTATAAGTAATAAAGAATGCTCAAAAGTATTTGACAGAAAGCAGTATGATCAGCTTTTTGTTTTAGAATGCTGAACATCAAGTCAATTTATAGTTTAAATTACAATGTAAAAGATTGAAACCATTGAAATCAACTAAGAAACTAATGCAATGTCTGAGGTGAAAGATAATAAGGGACATAAGTAATTAGAGAGGCAATGTTAATAAAATTAACAATAGCAGCAACTTAGCATTAAATATGTTTAGATACTTATTTTGAGCTAAGGATTGTGTTAAGTGCTCTGTATATGGTTTATTTCCTCAAATAATCTCAACAACCCTATGAGATACTATTGCTATCCTCCATTTTACAGGTGAGGATAAAAACACTAAATTTCACAAGCTTCCCAAGCAGGAAACAATGGGGACAGGACTTGAATCTCAATATGACTCCAAATACTATCCAGATTTAGTGGTACAATCAGTATGAGTAACAACCAATAACGTATTGAGGAGCAGGCCAAAAAGGAAGAAGTTGAGAGACTCCCCAGGGTTTCCAGCTCAGTGAAGTTGATGGAATCCTCATGATCTAGTTTCCAAGGAAAGGAACAGGAACAGGAAGAAATGCTAGAATGAATAGTTCTATATTCTGGAGGAGATTTTCAGTAGACATGGGGGTTTATGCATTTAAACCTCAAAAGAGCTCTAAGATGGAAAGAGAGACATGGGACTCCTTAGTTATAGGTGGTGGTTGAGGAAATGAGTGTACATGACATTTTCTAAAAAAGCATGAAAGAATGATGGTCAAGACTGTAAACTCTAAGAGCCCTGCTCCAATTTTGCTAATCTGGCCAGGAACAACATACCATAATTCCTAATAATGTGGATGTGCGGAGGCCAAGTAGAAGAGAAAATCAAGAATACCCTGTGTTCCTCCCACTCTTGTCTATTCCCTAGAGTAAAACACACTAAAATCAGCAGTGTGTTTGCCTCCACCATACAATACTGCCTTTGTGAAGAATTGCTTTACTAATCACTAGGTTTATGGACAAATTTAGCTGATTATTTCAGTGCATGATAGAGATTCATGTTCTAACTTCAA